GCCTGCTTGTAAGAAACTCAGAGCAGTCAAATAGCTGCTCGCCGTTTTCGTCTTTCTCAGACCTCATTAATCTTGAGACACTTGCAGCATCTGCCTTTTGTCCCGTTTGTTCTCCAGTTTCAAACTTGGCTATCAAGTAGTCCTTTTGCTTATCAGTGAAACGAGTATTGCGAGAACAACTCTGCTTTAGGGCCCATCCCATTTCAAGAGAAGCTACAGACGATGACGGGTGGATTCCGTGTCCAGCAGTTGCGGCACAGCACTCGGTCCTTTCTCCAGTCTAGAGGCATACCCTAGCACGGCGCGGTCATAAAGAGTTTCATATTCAAGAACATATTTGTGTCTCCCACATTCGAGATGCTTCTGTAATGACGAATGGCGTTGATAGGACTTAATGCAACCCTCTTCCGAGCAGAAAAAATATTTCAGTTGTGGAATCGCGCGATTCTTCACTTGAATCATCGGTACCTTCATCAGTGTTGTCTTGGTGCTTTTGAGATGTTTTAGCAAACTCAGATCGTCTCGGTTTGATAGGAACAAAATTAGCTTTTATGTTTTCGCTTGCTGCACTGCATTCCAGTGTTTGTGGACTTTGTCCTGGTCAGGAACATGAAACTTGCTCCAAGGAATGAATTTGCCTCTTCTAATTTCGTAGCCGGATCTCCATAGTCTCACACCTTCCTCGCCATATTGAACGTTGTTGACAAAGCTCACAACATCCCATTTCACTCATCGCCAGAAATCAAGGACATTTCGAGCCCGCTAACAATTATCAGCGATATATCGTATTACACTCCGGAACAATAGAATATCAAGAGAATTCAATATGCCGGCGATCACGGCTCGATCTGAAAAGAAGAGTGTTTCGTACCACGACTCATACAATTTGAGCACCGCAGATCTTCTATTTGATGAAAAGAAAAAGAAAAGAAGACCTGCAAGTAAATCTTTGGGACTTTTCGAGGCTAATATGAGGCGGAATTTAAGCTGTTTTAATTTCTAGAATTCCTAAAGTATAGTAATTTTTATTTGAATGTTAAAATATTTTAAATCAGCGCTCGATTAAGCGCAATTTTTAGTTCAAAAACGGCGATTTTTTGAAGGTTTGAAAAAAGACTTAGAAAAAATTCAACTTCTTGAAAACAAAGCGAATAGTCCCAAAGGTAATCTATTGTTTGCGCTATTGTTTTCTTTTAACAAAGGACTGTATGCATAATGAAGTATGGGGCTGTGCGGAAACTTTGCCAAGAACTGTATGGCGACCTTGGTCAATAATCAATGACAAAAGAACTGGCTCGGGAAGTAAGTGGTTTTTATTTATCGAGTCCCTGTGAGGTTTGATGAATAGCAGAATCAGTACTGAATATGTCTCGATCGAGAGCAGACGGGACCATGAGCTCCTGATTATTATATTTTAGAAATTTTACAAATTTCCATACAGTTTCTTATATCATTTGGACGCCATTATGGACGAAATGCGCAAGCGCGGCCGCCATCTTGTCCAATATTTCTGCCGATGCTGGCTTTTTGATGGAAAACAAAGGAGGTCTGCACAACACTGCTTTTACTCCAGGGACACCTCCTAATGATTCTATTACCTCCTGCATTTGAGATACCGATTTTATATCGTGGCCTGAATTCAAATGGATGGCCATATGGGATTTGATCGTTGTAGCTTTCCGATCGCAATATCCCTTCACTCCTCGAGGATCTGAAAATCTATTCTGCGTAGGAAGAGATTGTTTAGCTCTGCTACTTTGCTGGCTGTAACCAGGGTTAAAGCGCAGTGGTAATACCCGGCGTTGTCTTGTCCAAGATAAATGGATTGCAAATGAGGCATGACATCCTTCAGTCGACGAAAGACGTCGTTAAGTATGGCAAGAACTGCAGAACTGTCCTGGTTACACGTCTCAAATAAGTGTTCAAATGTCATCATCTCAATCTTGCCATCATTCCCTTTCTCGTCGCAACCGTGATATGCCATGGCAGATCTCTTTTACCAAACCAATCTGTTTGGCTCTCCCTAAATTTCTTTGGTAGATATTTCATTGCCTGGTCTAAGACCAGTAAGGCAGAAGTTTCATCCAGCCCATCGATGACGTCTAGTCTGGCCTCGTCCTGGTTTGTTGAACGTAGTAAATGCGATTTCCAGGAATTTATGCATTGTTTGGACTGTAAAGTCACAAAGGCCAAATCTTCTTTCGTATCGGTTGTGCCTCCCACTTTCTGTACAGCTCTCTCGATTTCGAAAGAGATCAGGGCGGACATCCCTACAATCATCTGGAATTCTGTAGGTATTCTGGCTCCTTCGCCAAGCTCAGAACGGTGGAATGGACAAATTGTTAAGGCGTTTATATCCTTTGCACTCATGTAAAAAATACCTGCTCGGGCAAGGTTAAGTTCACGCTCGTTCTTAACTCCGGCAAAACATCAAGCACTTTTATGACCCTGTACATCTTTATTGCACGACACCAAGGGTACCACCTCAAATAATTTACTCCTGTCTTGTCGGTCGTACGAGCAAGCACCTCCAACTATAAACTTCAATGAGCAAGAAGCTTCCATTTCATTTACAAGCGAGACTTCCGATTCAAAGGGGGCGGGAAATAATTCTTTTTCTTAGTTTCACGTAAGAAAAATCGAATGGAGGATTGTTTATTAAGTTTTGTTAATTTAATTAATTGTCTCGCTTTTAAGTAGAAAATTCAACAAAAATCATAGTTTTACTCACGCAGAAAAAAAATAACACGAGTACAAATTTAGGAAAACTCAGAGCTAAATGGATATCTAGACACATGATTTCTATTCCTCGTATTTGTGCCTCTTCAAATGACGTCGACCGACCCCACTCGTAAGTCCAAATTATTCTGTCACACGAGCACGAAGACTCGTACCGCAATTATGCAAATAAGGTCATACAAACCCTCACTTAACTCCTGCAAGGGCCTCTGTAAGGTAACATTTTTTGGATTTTCATTTGCCATAGGCTAGTTAAAAGGTACGGGTTAGCAAGTCAAATAAGAGGCAGAAACTTAAGATTCGTATGCGAGAGAACAGGAAAGTTTTTTAATCGTATACCGTTGCTAGCACTGGTGCATAATCGTACTAGACAGAACGATGGCAGAATATCTCTGCAGAAACAAACTTCAAATGATAAAAGACAAAATAATTTAACAAAACTGGATATCAATTTGTTATTTGTTTCTGAAAACGTTCTCCTGTACGATTTTGAGTAATTTCAAATGCAGGAATGCTCCTTCGCTCTTTGGTCACGCAACAACATATGGCGTGATTTTATGTCTTCCGTGTGCTACTTTGAAGAGTTTCATGCGTCGCGAGAAAACATTTGCCCAAAGAAAACTTTACGTCATCTTGAAGATCATTCCTTCGGAAATTTACGTAGTACGTAATTTTGTGGAATTCTGAATAATGGCACATGATGAAAAAAGAGGTTTTCTTCAGCGACATTTTTTTGTAACGGAAGAGAGCACATTGTTTTTTTGCATGGCTAAAAGCTTCTAAGCAACCAATTCCTACATAACTTACATTTTACAGAAGACAAAGAGTCTATGAAAGAGTACACGTTGATAATATTTCCCTAGAAGTAATATCTTTGAAATACGAAGCGAGCGAAAGTGTTCAATTTTCGACCTTTATGACCCGATCCATCGATTCTAGAGGGTGAAAGCGAAAAGTTCGTTTTTCTCGAAAATAAAAACATATTTAAAAATACACAGCCTTTCTTGTCTTACTAATGTCTACTTGTGTGCAAAAATTGAGAAAATTTGAATTTTTGACCCTTGGCATAAAAATTTAACTTCTGTTTGATTTTTGCACGGATGTCCTCTTAACTAATTTTCAGTTTCGAATGAGTCTGAAAATTTATGGTCATTCTCTGGGTTACGTAAGTCTGATTTTATTGTAATTGCAATCTAATCAATAATTAACTTCTGCTATCAATTAATCTTAAGTAACCTATACCTGTGAGGAAAAGTGACTTTGACCTCAAGTTTTACACTATGTCTTACTTATTTTGTGTTTTAAATTTTACTTTTTAGGAAAGTCCTGGGTTTCAATGATGAATTTTTTTTCCTGAGAAGCCCATTTTATACAATTTAAAATGACATATTGTAGGTGTTATTCCTGTAAAAGTTTGTTGAGATATGAATTAAAAACTGAATGTGGACAAATTTTTGCTAATTTTTTTGGAATGACATGTGCACATAAAAATTCATAAAAAATTCATTATTTATTCTTTTTCTTTCAGATTTTCAGGAAATGTTGCTGACATGTTAATAATTAACTTCTGCAGAAGCCCATTTTATACACTTTAAAATGACATATTGTAGGTGTTATTCCTGTAAATATTTGTTGAGATATGAATTAAAAACAATGTGGACAAATTTTTGCGTTTTTGTAACTGATGTTGTTGGGTTAAGCAAAAGACCTCGCAAACGAACCTTGACTCTTAGTTGAGAATTAAGCTAAGTTGAAGAATGCCTTCCAGCTACATCTGTGTGAAAGCATCCGTCAAAATATAGATATTTCCTTTTCTGCTAAAAATAGCTGAGAATAATGAGTCAAATGAGTTTCAGTGATTTTCCTTTGCAGTATAACAACATTTACCAGTTGTGAGCAAAAAATGCGCATTGGGATGAACTGGGTATACCTTTTGACTTTAATTTGTATATCAATCGCTCTTCGGCATAATTTATGTTCTTTGATATTAAGTCAGAGATTAAGGATATGTCGCCCACGATACCAAATATTTACTCCCGAGGCAAAAGTTCTGATAATATCGAAAGTCCAAAGCACTATCGAAAGTTTCCACATTGATGCGCATTTATGTCCAATTTTTAGGAATTACATCATACACATTAGAGAGATCAATTAGAACTGGAAAGTAATGGGAAAATATCAATGTTGAAATTGAAGTAGAAAGTCAGTTGAAGCCTTCCTGTTGTATCTCAACGTTCGTTGTAAAAGTAAATCATTCCAAAATGAGTAGCAGTACATTGATAGAGGTTTTTGGTCACATCGTGTTTAGTTTCACGCGAGGCGTCACAGAGCATTACAATCCTGAAGCACTTGAATTTACAGCGGAATCCTTTGGCTACGATCCATTGGAAAGCACCGGTCGAGAATGGTATTATCATCCTGTAGACGAGTTTATATTTCAAGAATACAGCGATAGAAGGGACACAACTCTTTCTTATCTTCCTTCGTCAAGTCTCAATGTGAGATGTACAGACGCGTGCGCACCAGAGGAAAATGAGGAGACGTTAGGTGGCCAACAGGATGAAGATCAATCAATGGCTTGGAAGCGGCTCAGACCATCTATTTTATTCACAGTGGGGAAAGCAATGTATATTGGAGCACTTATTTCACTGTTAACGTCTACTGGCATAGGCTCATTATTCATGTCGGTCATTTATCTGTCGTATAAAACTGAACTCAACTGTCAGTTTCACTCTAAAGAGTCTATTCCAGTACAAGTTCAATGGATCATTTCAATATCTGGTATCCTCTCCTGTGCTTTTCTATACATGTGGTTCTTCGTAAGCATTGTTTTGTTATTTCGCCCATTTCAGCTGATCGGGGTGAAGAAAAAGCTTGTCCTAGCAACGTTTCTATTGTATGGCTTGGACACACTTTTTCGTGTTGTTCTACAAGCGTTACAAATAAATCAGTCAAAGGC